CAAATTTTATTGAGCCATGGTCCGGTTATCAGTGAAAAAACATATTGGACCTGCTGTGTAGAAGTAAATTGGAGCTTGGGAAGAAATGGAAGAAATGTGGACAGTGAAGTTGAGCAAATATATATTTCCTTATTTTGAAAAAAGGACTAAATGTAAGTTGTAAGATAACAAATCTACTGCAAGTTACACTAGGTTTATTAGAAACTTGATCGTGCTTGTCACTAAGGGTCAGGTCCTCAGTTTGGTCCAAATGTCAGCGTAGGACTCGACGGCCCTTACGAAGCCAGAATGGGACGATGGTAGAATTTGGGCAGCACGGAGACGTTCCAGTTTAAAATGTTTCGTAGTTTAGGACTTGACTTGTGCTGCAAAGTCGGGCAAAAATGAGATCGCTTTGTAATAAAGTATATTGGGGGATATTAGCAGCTTCGTAGGTGTGGCCTCCCTAGTCATTAGACGAATAGCACTAACAGTAAGGTGTGCGAGGAGACAAGTAACAAGACAGTGGCCAAAAGGGTGGACGAAGGAGAGAATTCAGCCGAATATAATGAGAGGCCAGTGCTTATCCTGGGACCCAAGACCTGAAGTGACTTGTTGGCGCTGTCCGGAAGTTGCGTGAAAAGATAAGCGGTGTGGGACAGTAATTTGGTTGTTGTCGATAATTCTGCTTTAAGGCCCGCTGCACTCACGTACGATGAGAACGATGGGCACAAGTGGAGACACTAAAATTGCCAAGGATACAACTTTGAACAGTTTGATGGGATTCTAAAATAGGGCGGCGGTTGACATTCAATTGCTGAACAAGTTGAGTGATCTCACTTTCATCGGGAGGCCAATGTGCATTGTACGGATGAGTTTTAACTTATTTGGGTCTAGAAAGCACTGAGAGTAAAACAAGAGGAATCTTGAGAAGTTAGTCTGAAGATTGTGAGAGTGGAATCCAGACAAACAACGAGTCCAATATGAATGAAGTTCTGCAATTCCCGTTTGTCATTTATATTTTGAAGAGGAAGAAAACAGACGGTACTGAAGATTATAGGAATCGATAAACCAAGTTTGTAGTATTCTCAGAATGAGAAGCTTATCCTAATGTTCTGTTGGTATTCTTTCTAACCATCATTCTCCAAGTTGTTTGGTGAATTGCATGGCTGGAACCTATTTGGTGCGCCTGGTTGTACCAAAGTGCTTTTGTATAACGATAAGGTGGATAGCTGTATGTGATTCGTTCAGTAGATATTGGTTTACTTATAATCGTGTGATTTCTACTTTCACCTTGCATTCTCACTACGACCACCCCAAACTAACTGGTACCTAAGTGTGTTTGTTGTTCAAATCCAACAACCTAGTTTTTGCTTTTATGTCCAGCCGGAAAATCTACTTCT